CTTTAACATGATTGTTAATGATCCACGATATTTACAAGAAAGAGCAATCTTGGCACCAACATTAGATGTGGTAGACGCAATAAATGAATACATGACTAGCCTTAATGTTGGTGAGGAGTAGAGGACATATTTAAGTTCGGACAGCATTTGCAAATCAGATTCAAACTCTGATTTATTGGCAGACTAACATTCACCAGAATTTTTAAATAGCATTCGTGCTTTAGGCGTCCCAAACCATGAACTGATTTTAAAAGTTGGAACACCTGTTATGTTGTTGCAAAATGTTGACCAAACAATGTGTCTTTGTAATGGTACTCGATTGATTATAAGTCGGCTAGGATCCCATGTCATCCAAAGAAAAATGATTGCAGGAAAGCATGATGCATGGTCACGAGGTTGTGATTCCAAGACTCGCACTTACACCTTCGGATACGAGGATTCCTTTTAAATTTCAGAGAAAACAATTTCCGATAATGACGTCATACGCTATGACAATAAATAAGAGTCAAAGCCAATCCCTGAAGCACGTTGGTCTTCTACTGAAAAAACCGATCTTTTGTCATGGACAGTTATACGTTGTTTTTTTCTCGAGTGACAAATCGTCTGGGCCTTAAAATTTTGATTTGCGACGCTGATAATAATGTAGTCGAGCGTACCACTAATATTGTATTCAAAGAAGTTTTCCAAAATATTTGAAGTATGTTGTAATGGTCTATTGTTTGTTTTTGTCAACACGTGTCATATGCAATGTATTAATAATAAGAATATTTTAATAACATTTAGTCTGTTTCTCCTTATCAATAATCTATTATGTAGGAATATCATCTTTATTCTTGTAATTTCATTTGGTATAAAATTGAACCTTTTATCCTTATCCTTATGAATTAAACTCTTAATTAAATTTTAATTAATGACAAACATAATAATGAAATGCTCTCCGTGCATCGCACGGGTGCGATGCTAGTATTTTAACAAATGAAGCATATAATAAAAAAAATTCAAAAATCTTTGCCTGTATAGTAATAGTACTTCGTAAATATTTAATAAAAGTAAAATATATTTAGCATGGACATATATATTGTGACTCTGGGTTAGGAAAAGAAGAAATAAAAACCACGGACATAAGAAAACACGGACTATTTGAGCCAGGTTTCGATCCTGGGACCTGTGGGTTATGGGCCCACCACGCTTCCGCTGCGCCACTCCGATTTGTCGGTCGCTATTTGGTTTGTATTCTTATTGTATATAATTGTAGAGAGATTATTAGAGTTCCACACTTCCAAGTTCCACCACGCGATATAACGGACTTGTGAAAAGCTATGCCACGGCCCACGGGAACAATTTAGAGATCGATAAACGGGAAAATGGGGAATTTTCATAAATAGTGCTAAAATACACTGATTTTGAGCTTGTTCTTTTATTTTCTTATATTTCTTTTCATTTTTTTTAGTGTTTTTCAGTTTCTTCTAACTATTCTCATTTTATTCAAACTCTTTCTACTCTCCAACCAATTACTATAAAAACGATATATTTTTAATGTTAATGTTATTATTATTATTATTATTATTATTATTATTATTATTATTATTATTATGTTCATAACTATATCTTATAAATTATTCTTTTAATCTCACTATTATGTTCACTATTTTTACTAGAGCACTTATTATTATTTTTTCAACTTTTTAATATGAATAAGATAACTTTTTGTATATTAATCTACATGATAAAACACAAAAACATCAATTTGTTAAACTATATTAAAAAATTATGGATAAAATAGTGACATAGAATGTTTTATTAATCTAACTTGATATAAGACCTCTCACATTTCCTTTGTTAGTTAAAATTTTCTTATTTTTCTAATTTTTATAAAAAAAATGTAAATCAAAATAGTTTAGAGAAAAAAAAGACTAAAATGGGAGTAAAACAGAAAAAATGTAAAAAAAGTTCTATGTCTTTATTCCAAAAGACCCGAATCGAACCCGACCTCGGGTATGGGTTTATAATTTTACCCGACTCGAACCCGACATGACCTAAACCCGAATATTTTATAACCTAAAAGCCTATCTATGGATATAATGAGCACCCTCTATAATCTCTTGACAATGTGCTATTATATCAAGTATTCCTTTTATAATTCTTTTTTATAATTCCTTAATTTAAAAAATGAGACACCAAAAAAGAGACAAATTTTAGATTTATTCTTTTTAAAATTCTTAGGGTACGTCGAATTGATCATTGGTTAAATTACAGATTCGGGTTTGGATTTCGGGTTTAAATATCAAATTCAACTTGGGCCGGGTTTTTAGTTTAAAAGTTGAATTTCGGGTCAGGTTCAGGTTTTGGTTTTAAAAGTCGGGTCGGGTTCGGGCATAATACTACCTGACCGGAACCCGACCCGTTGCCATTCTTAATGGAATGGGAAAGTTGAGGTGTCGTGAGTTGGAAGTGGGGATAGAGAAGTCGGCATGCATACCACACAGCCTTAATGAATGAACTTTGCTTTGATTAAATTTATAAAAACTTTGTTTACATTGTATATTAATAAAGTAAAAAAAATTAAAGAATATTTTACATGATATATTTTATTAAATCATTTTTTACTACTATATAATTAAATTTTAAATGATAGTATGTGTTTATTGAATATCTTGAATAGGCCAATGTTAGACAATAATATTAATAGTACTTCTTGTAGTATTGGTTATGGTAGTGTTTCATTATTAGTCAGCTTCCTAATCCTATTTGTGGTAGATGTTGTATGTTAGTTAGTTTCTATTCTCTATTCCTATTGTGTTAGGAGTCTCTCCTATATATACACTATCATGTACTCCATAATTCAATGAACAATATTATTATTCCAATATTTCGACATGGTATCGGAGCCACCGCTCTTGGTGACCTAAAAAAAGATCTTTGCTCCCACGTCCCGCCGCCGCCGCCGGTATTTCCGGCGACGGCGGCTCCACCTTATTCACATCTTTTTTTTCCCTTCTTTTATTCTCAAATTAACTTCTCCATTTAAAAAAAGAAAAAAAATTCCTGTGTTGAAATCACAAAAAAAATCCGTCAAAGGAGGAGCTTCTCTCTTGTCATCTCCATGGTTCTTCAAAAAAAACTCAACTCCTCACAAACTCTCTCAGATCATCCTATCTTCTCAAAAAAAAAAAGGAAAAAATAAATGATTGTTGTTTCTCTCCAATTCACCATATCAAAATCTCAGGCCTAATTTTTTTTTCCATCACCAATTCTTAACCTAATTTTTCTCTCTAAAATCACTCACCCTAATCATCAACCTCCCTTCTCTTTCTCTTCTGTTGAACCAATAAAAATCTTAAGTAAATCAGCACAAAACCAAAGCCAAGAGTGGAAGTAGTGAAAGAGGAAATAAGACCTCTACAACTCACCCCTTTAAGAAGGAAATAGGGCATTGCCCGGATCCAAGAAAAAGACAAAAAAAACGTCAAGGATCTTCAGTCAAACAGGCACCTCCAGTAGCCTTCTCTATTCTTCTTCGACGTCAGCAGCTACAAGCGCACGTCAACCTTCTCTCATCTTCATCGACGTTAGCAGCTACTAGCGCACGTCAATTTCTCTCTTCTCCAACAACGTTAGCAGCTACCAGTGCACGTCAGACTTCTCTCTTCTCCAACGACGTCAGCAGCCACCGGCGCATGTCAGCCTTCTCTCTTCTCAAAGTTTCCAGTTTCCAGCTAGTGTCCAAGCTTCCTCTTGCTTCAGCCAGAGTTCAGCTTGAGGGGGAATGTTAGACAATAATATTAATAGTACTTCTTGTAGTATTGGTTGTGGTAGTGTTTCATTATTAGTCAGCTTCCTAATCCTATTTGTGGTAGATGTTGTATGTTAGTTAGTTTATATTCTCTATTCCTATTGTGTTAGGAGTCTCTCATATATATACACTATCATGTACTCCATAATTCAATGAGCAATATTATTATTCCAATATTTCGACAGGCCAAGCTAACCGTCGTGCTAGCCGACCACAAGGTCATATAAAGTTGGAGACCATTAGATTGATCCAGAATTAGGATTGGGCTCGAGATATGGATGAGACTGTAGTCGTTAGATTTTTCTTTGGCCATCGAGTTTCCTCCATTCATTATTTGCTCGTAATTTAAAGTGTCAAATGAATTACGGAGTACTTAATAATAATATTAACACAAATTTTGTTACATGAATTAACTTGATTCTTATCATCACTAACTATCCCAAGCTTTTGACTGAACTAAAAATCTATAGGATAATAGGACTAAACGAAATGTTTTCCCAAACATTTTCATGTTATTTTCCCCAATCTTGATGTGAGGCCACTGGTAATACTAGTAACGCCACCCGGCGTTATGATGCTTTTGAAGCCCAGGGGCGTTAAACACCGCCCCCTGGGGCTTCATTGTGGCGTGATCGTTCCAGCGTCATTCCTTTAACGCAACTTCTTCCCCTTATAACGGCAAATTAAGCCGTTTTAAGCACACACAAAAAAAATTAAATAATTTTTTTTTATAAATTTCAAACTCCATCTTTTTCCCATTTTATAATTAAATTTTTTAATTTAATGAATGCAATTTTTTAAAATTATTATCGCTTCAATTTCTTTTAATTTAATGAATCTAATTTTTTAATTACTCTTGTTCCAATATAATTAAATAATTAAATAATTTAATTTTAGAAGATGTATATTTAAAAATGTAAAAAATGAAGGTTTGAAGCCCATGTTTGAAACCCCGGGGCTTCAAACCCATTTCCACTGAATCTGTGAGGTAAGTTAAAGCTGACGTGACAGAGAGAGAAATTTTGAAGCCTCGGTTTGAAGCCCGGGGCTTCACAGGTATTTCCAGTGCTCTGAGTATGTGTACAGTGAGTTCTTGGATTTTGCAATAGTGCGAAAAGTGAAAAAAACAAGAAAGAGCAAACAACAAAAAGAAGCTCTCCCCATCATCCCATCCAAAAGTTTCCCATCTTAAAATTCAATTCTAACTCTCTCCGACCTCCCCTTTAGCTCATTAACCCCATTCTTAAAGAACCCCCCGGCCATTCCTTCTTCCCCAGAACAAAAAACCCCACTCTTGGAAGTTCAAAATTGCACCTTTATTCGACCGCACAGATTTCGAGCTCAAGATTGTGTTTTTTTCCCACAAAGAAACTTGAAATGAAGCGGAAAAACGTTATCTTTCTCACTTTGTTGCTGGGAATTCTTCTAGCTGCTCGAGGAGCTTTCAGTCTGGTTGATAATGATAAGTGGGCACTGCTTGACTTCGCCAACAGTATCCGCCATTGCAGATCTCTGAACTGGAATGAGAAGCTCTCGGTTTGCATGAACTGGACTGGAGTGGGGTGCAATGAAGATGGGTCTAGAGTTATTGCATTGAGGCTGCCTGGGGTTGGGTTGAATGGCCCAATTCCTCCGAACACTCTCAGCCGTTTATCTGCTTTGGAGATCTTGAGCCTCAGATCCAACGGTATTTCTGGGACCTTCCCTCTTGATTTTGGAAACTTGAAGAACTTGTCATATCTTTATTTGCAGTTCAACAATTTCTCTGGCCCTTTGCCTCCTGATTTCTCAGTTTGGAAGAACCTCTCAGTTGTTGATATGTCTAACAATAGGTTCAATGGCACCGTCCCCGTTTCGTTGTCTGGTTTGAGTATGCTCACCTCTTTGAATCTTGCAAACAACTCAATTTCAGGAGAAATCCCAGATTTCAATTTGCCTAATCTGCAATTCTTGAATTTTTCCTACAATAATCTCACTGGTATAGTGCCCAAATCACTAAGAAGGTTTCCTGGGACTGTGTTTGTGGGAAACAATGTTTCTCTATTTGATGATAATGCCTCCTCAAGTCCAACTATTTCTCTCCCTCAACAACCAACCTACGCTCCCGAATCCAAGTGTTGGGATTTTAAGCGCGTAAGATACCGAAAAATATTGAGAACACCAGAAAAATGAGAGAACAAACACAAGAAGAATATATGAGAGAAAAAATTATATTTCCACTATTTCAGGACAATATACAAAAAACTCTCCCCTGTTTACAAGACTAAATTTCAGACACTCATAAACAGATCTTTCCACATCCTATGCCCGGATGTATTTTTCCGAGTAACTAAAACCAGTAACTCCCTACACTCACCCACACTCACCAAGACCCCTTGGATTTTCCCGGTGGTATTCTTGTGTAGAACCCTCTTC